CATTTTTCTTCAATCATTTCTAATTCTCGTTCCTTGAGAAGCATGACTATATTTATCCTGTTTCCCTGAGTTGGTATTTGCTATTTTGTAACATATTTTCATCGTTATTGAATTCTGTTCCCGATAAGATCGTTCATATCGCGTCTCATCAGGAATCGTTTTTGCATACATTGGCGTTGTTTGATTAAGATATGTCCTTTTTTAACAAAATGAAATATTTAATTAATGCATGCTTTGACTCGTACACCACCACAAAAGGTTGCTTCCAATATTGTTTGCCAGCCCTGTCTGACTGCCTACAGATCTTACAATCACAAGATGAAAAACCGCATACTTTCAGAGATATTTTTGATAAACATTCATTTTAACGCTATTGTAAACAAAATCGCTGTTTTGTTTTTTTTTTTTTTTTTTTTTTTTTTTTTTTTTTTTGGGGGGGGGGGGGGGGGTCCGTTGATACGTGCTTTTACAATCTATTTTTCTTTCCTAAAATCGTTTAAAAACATTTTTCTTCCAATACATATAATAATTAGGAAATAAGAAATCATTTTCAATCGATTTATTTGTGCCTAATCATTCATGGGATCCCTATTGTTTAAGTCGTCAAAAGTATACAAAAGTATACAATACAAATGCTAAACAAAGAAGTGGCTAATTGCGTTAAAAGTGAAGTAATTGGTCTTTTCATGTATTTTGATGCTTTTATGTCTATCGTACCCTTTTTCACTGGCTCTTTGGAATTTTGAATCTGCATGACTAATCTGAAGTGGTAGAGAGAAATTTATGGAAGCCTATTTATGAAAACTACAACTAAATAAAAAACTAAATAACAAAAGAAAATCTTTACAAAAAATTGAAAAAATATAAATAAATAGAAAACTAAATCACAAAAAAATCTTAATTACAAAACTCGAGTCAATTAACTACAGAAACTTGAAAATAGGATTTCTGTTATTGACAATAATATCTTGAAAACATTTAAAATTTCTGTCACTGTTAAAGAAACTTTTTTCTTAATCTGGAAAAGCAGTTTTGAGATAATCTTATACTGATTGAACCATATACAATTGATTTTAAAGTCTGAAGATCTGCTTATCTTTGAGAAAGGACAGCAGCTCTACATTCTCAAACATAATATCATGGCGTTTAAAGCCATAAAGATGATACATCAGTTATTAAACCATTAGTTCCAGACATTTCTGCCCAGTTGGATTTTCCATGTTACTGGTTACTACAACGTAGATTTCACCTTTTTATCCTTCAAATAAAGTATTGCATTTTTATAGAAGAGTTGGAACACTTTTGTAAAACGAATGATTTTGCTTAAATTCCTGTGAGTTACTTTCTTATTATGGTGATGTACTTAAGGTATGTCATCCCTCTGTTCACTCGTTTAAAATTATTCCTTAACGCTGATGATTTTCCAAATGAAATCGATCTGATTCACAATTAAAACGCATACAATTTCAACATACCTTGAAGAGCAAAATTTCACAGAAATGGCCTGTAAACTTGACAATTTTATCAAAGAATAATTATAGTAATTTATACCAGTTGGAGTAATCTCTGTTATCAGCGTATCAATGAACCTTGAAAGAATTGTAAATGTAAGATAGGAAGGGCTAATAATAAAAAAAAAATTCATGCATGATAATAAAATAGCTGTTTATATTTACATGAGGTGATTGGTATCGCAGATTGAATTCTTTGTTAGAAGTTATGAAATAATTATACATTTATAATTTCATGGCATCAATCAGAAGTCACTTCGCAATCATACAGTCATTCATATTGGCGACAATCAAACCAGTTACTTGAGGATAAAATACGTTTTACTGCAAATTTATGCTTTAGTTTGTTTTGATATTATATCAAAATTGTGGCATTACACATTGTGATTTATATGTTTCCCAAGGCTTACTGCATAACATGTAAATTTTTCAACTCAGATAACCACCCCTATGTTATCATTCCTGGTCTCTTTTTCTTCTTTTCTCTGACACGTATGATAAAATTTGAATACATAGGAAAAAAGGTATTCATACCTTTACACACACGGAATTCCCAGTTAATAAAATCAAGGTTTTAAAAGAACTCGAAAATATGGAAATATGTTCAGGAACTTAAAATCCTATAGGGTTTATTCTTATCATTAAGAGTCTCCTTTGTCACAAATATCTTTTCATTGTCATCTGGGGATCTAAAATCAAGAAAGCGTTAATGCAATCTTTTTTTTTTAAATTACAGGAACAGTGTACTTCATGTAATATTTAAAAATTGTTTTAAATGTTTACTATATAATAAATATTATATATGAAGATAACGAACAGTGCTCAAGTTCAAAGGTTCATTTAAACAATAAAAATTGCGAGCAGAGGCAAAATGGACCTCTAAAAGCAGAGGAAAAATTAAGTGCCATGGAGGAGTAAGCATCCCCTGTCGACATTCAGTCAACATTCGACTTAACAGAGGAATGTGTTTGCAAACAAGGTCATTGTATTGACCTTAAAATTGCAAAATGCTGACTGTATACGATATTGTTTATATCCTTTAATCATTTGTTTATATTCAATAATCTCCCTGGTTTAAGAATTTGTACAACATGCTCTTCCGTTTCGTACCAACTGGGAAACAAAAAACTCATATGCAGGTGGTAATGGTATATTTACAAAAAGTATAGATGCATGATGCATCGTAATCGACACACATCGGAACCAAGTCTCAACCTGCAACAGCCAAGGAAAATCGGTAAAAGGAAAAAATGATTGGACTGCATTTTATGGAGATTGTGACTTTTTTATTCCGCTACCACCATATCACGTAGTGACTTCTTACTCAGTAAGAAAACGGGAGGTAATTTAGTTTAGCACCTGTGTTTTAAACATTAGCCATTAACTGACTTTTATGGGGAAGTTTTCGTGAAGATTATTCATAAAATGTATTGTTCTATATAAAAAGGGTGTTAAGATAGTTCGTTCCATAATGAAATATTTTTGAAAATTTCAAAGTAGTGTTTTACTGAAAAGATTAATTTTCCAGTCTGACAAAATCACACGATTTTGCTTTCGATTTATAGCAATTGATTTCTAGGCGGAATTATAGGATTTTTTCCATATGAAAATATATATAAACATCTTTAAATCACCCAAATGAAAGAACTACTGGTCATTTTTCTTTTTTCATAGCTTTTCTTGCATCATACAACTTTTGAGATTAGGTAAAAGAAAGATGAGTCACTTTTCAAAAGAATAGGTTGAATTTCCATACTGACTTGATAAATTTTGCATAAATATTTGAAAGGATATATTGAACTTTGTGCTTAAGATATTTCACAAATTCGCTGCATCCCTGATTTTTCTGCACATGCATCGTCTGTTTCAATACCTGCCCTCCACTTTTCGTTTCATCAAAACCCAGTTAAAACCTTACCAGTAGCGAGAATAGACTCCGTGAACGTGAAATATCACAATTTTGATATCTCCTCATTGTATTTCTTTTCAAGAATGACAGAAATACACAAGAATCGGTAAATAGCTGCAATAAGTATTGATGGATATGAATTTTAATTTTAAGTGATTTCTATAATTATTTTAAAATAAATGTGTGATTTGTTTTTATCTTTAGACTCTGGTTTTACATTTTAATCAGTTTATTGGTGAAGGTGTCACAAGAATTCAACTCCTTTGAATTAGCGATACATCTCGATAAGGACACCAAAATCGTATTGAATTTCCTCTTGTACAAATATATAGGTCTCTGAATCTTCGACTTTCTTGTAAAAGTATATGTCTAAGCATTCCAACTTGGCTGAAAATCAACATGTTGATTTCTGTCTCCACTGCTGGCAAGTATAATTATTTGTAAAAAGTAGAAAAGAAAGTTTTTGGTTCGGCCTACATTGGTACAGTTGTGTTGATATTTCTGAGTGAAATTTATTTCAGAGTGCAAAATGGGTTTCGGTGTTTTGAGCATAGTGAAGACAAGAGGATTCTTCGTGCTATCCTTAACCAGATGGTGGTAATTTCAACTATATGTAAAGACTCTCTCCACAAAACTGATTTCTCCAAATCTAGATTGCTGACCTAATCATGGGTAAGCATTCATAACAGGTGTAAAGACCTTGCAATAAAAGTTCTTGTTAATTACATAATCTATGCTTATATTGGTTACAAAATGCACTTTATTGTAATCATAAGGATATAGAAAAAATGAATTGATAATTGATGTTATCAACCAATGTTTTAGTGAAGCCTAAAGGATTGAACAACCATTCCTGCTACTGCTGCAATTTGTTTTCGACCAGCTTCCCCTATGATCAAATTTTAAGATGTGGAAATATCTTGTTCGTGTACCAATCCCCCATTCGAGATTAGCACAATATTTTGTATTAGATTTTGTTTTGCACATCGTTAAGGAGGAATACTTGTTTTAAGTTATTCTCATACATTAGAATAATGAAATAATCCCCTATTCCCTATGTTTTTGATAATATATCATAAACGTTTACTCTCTCTTGTCGGACAATTGTTATGCTTTATGTCTAGAAAAAGAAATAAATAAGCTGTTATGCTTGTCCACCATTCGTTCTACGAATCTGCAGAGCACTATTTATATGTACATTGTGTTCCTTTTAGAGCTCCTTTAAGAGAGATAAAAGGTTTGATTAAGCATTTAAGGCATTTATGGAGTTAAACCGGGGAGAAGTTTATGAGATATTTTTTTTAGTTTTTGTGCAAGTGTTTTAGTTGCTGACTCTCACTAAAGCATTTTCATTCAAGAATTAGGGTACCCTAAAAGAAATTTTATCCATACTCAAATCTGCAAGTTTAGGTTTCGCCAGCGAGTAATAAGTTCAAAATAATTTTGACTTTGATATAGCTTGTGTATGTTCAAGCATCCTTAAAAAAGTAACGGAAATTATTTCAAAATTTTATTCGCAATTGAAACAGTCATTTTACATGCATTTTGAAAATAGACTTTGACTACGAAATGCTCTTTTGTCATCAATATTTATGTGGTGTTCTTCTGTGCTATCTAGAAGTAGCTTATTTTGTATCCCGAGAAATAAGTGTACTTGTCAGCGTACATGTATCCAGCCGTTATATAAAATGTTCTGATCCATACTTTGTTTCCTCTCTTCAGTTCATAAAGCAAATGTCCCGAGGTACTGACATGATTGCTTTGCTGGTGATAGACACAAGTCGAGGCTTTCCTCACACCATCAACCACCGCCTCTATATAAACAGACGATTTCTTGGTGGTAATAAACGTCCACTCGAAGAAGTAGACACCGTCCTCTGGTGCTGTAAAGATACCTGTTTTGGGATCATATCCTTTACCTTTATTCAGTAAGACGTCCTCATATTTTATGATTGTGTTTACGGGAACGTTACTGAGGTGAGATTTAATGGCGGCGTGGAAGGCAATCACATGACCAACTGAAGCACAACCTACAATATCAAACATTTAAAATGACATTATCAAATAAAAGTATCACAATGTGAATATATATGTAATGGATATATGCCGAATACTGTTCTATATGTAAAATTATTAGACTGTTTGAGGCCCGTTAGGGCCGAAAACAGTCTGATAATTTTACATATAGAATTGTATGAGGCATATATCTTACTTAAAACATTGCTATTTAAATGTCCAAAAGTTACCTGGAGGAGTCCGATAATTACACAATAGGAGTTCAGGCATCAATAGTTTCCTACCTGAAACCATCTAATAAGTAGACAAAAGAAAAGAGAAAGTTTTTTTTTTAAGACAGTAAAATCAGTGAGTGAACTCTTTTGTTTCATTCATTCAATGGCAGTCGTTTGGCTTAGCAGGAACTATGGACAGTGGTCAGGTGATGAGGGATTTTTTTTATGATTCGGAATTTTTTTTTTTTTTTAAGTGCGTTTGACATTGATACAGATACAGTGTTGGATGATATCTTCGAAATGCATTTAAAGTAATAATGCAGATTTTTATCTAAATTTTGATTGGATGATATAATGAAAATCTTGGGTTTAAAAAAGTGCGGTCATCATGGTCATTGGCGAACAAACCTCGTTAAATGAAGAGATTCGCAGACTGGTTCTGTATCAGAAATGGATTTAAATTGGCTTATTCCCAGTGATGTATCGAAAAAGCTTTGCAAAAAAAAAAAAAAAAACTGAATGGAAAGTGTTACTTTTGAGGAAGTTTAAGACTCCAATTTCTTCTTGGATTTGCTATTTTTAACAACTTAATTTCCTCGCGTTCGCTTACCCTGAACTTTTTCTCCCTACCTTTTTTTTGGTTTCTGGACAAATTAAACCTTGATTTCACTCTTGTTGTTGTTTTTTAACTACTGTCCGATTTTGTTATCACTGCCGTCCGATAATGTATTATTGGACTGCTAATCATTATTATCGGACGACTACAGGTAAATTTTTAGACTGCAAGAACAAAGGCATGACGTCACAGCAATGTTTTAAATATATATACAGACCCTGAAACGTGCTACTACCCCAAAAAAGCGTGTAACTTTCGTGCTCTTTTCGTTTCGTGCAAACCGTGTAGCGTTTCGTGTAAACCGTGCAGCGTTTCGTGTAAGCTCCAAAGCGTTTCGTGCAAACCGTGTAGCGAGCGTGCGAGAAGCGTGTGAGAAACGTGCGACTTTCGTGTAAGAACCGTGTGAGAAACGTGCGACTTTCGTGCAAGAATCGTGTGAGAAACGTGTAGGATTCATTCGGAAGTCAATTCATTTTAAATATGGCTATCGATGGGTCAGGATGTCAAATAGTGTTGTTTATAACTAATATTATTCGGAGATATTATACTGGATGTATTTTAAGAGCGAAATTAAAAAAAAGTATGAGAACAACAAAATAAAATTACACGGTATTGTATATTTAATTTGTTTTTCTTTATTTTTTCTCTCAAAAATAAATATGGACAGGAAATTTATTCAAATTAATTATATGTAATTACAGTGTTTGTGCAACATTTTTAATGAATTGATTTTAATGCACAATCGGAGTGATCATATCTTTTTTATTTTATTTTCCAAAGAAAGCAACAAACGAAATTTCAAACGAAATTTTATCAGGTCTCCGCTCTTGTCTATTTATTACCAGATTGTATTAAATAATCTTAATCAAAACTGTGTGTCATTAATAGTCTTCTAATACAAAGCATTGATTTATTAATAATTGAAAAATATGAGTATAATTCACATGCATTTACGAACGCAGGATAAGAAATTACCGAGGGGGTGTGGGTGTGGGCGCATTTCAAAAACGCAAGCTTTAAATTTCAATATTTATCGGTACCGGGTGTTAGAAAGCATAATTGACTTTGTTTTGTATAAAGAAATAAATACTTAATTTATATGGTGCATCGGATGCACCACTTAAAATAAATCTTCAACTTCCCATTTGCAATGTGCGAATGTGATCAATGTCATTTACGACAGCAACCATGGGCTCCGCGGGCTCCACTAGCAGGGAATTGAAAACTTGTTCTGCTTTTATCTTTTATCAATCATGTCTAAAATACACCCGAGAATAACGATTGAGTTTAAATTTGTGATATTAAATGCTTATTTTTTGGGTTTTTTTTTTTAATATTTAATTGGTACACATAATACCCTTGGATTTTATTTTTAATCGACCCGAATTTCCGTGATCAGTGGATTGTTCGGCAGTCACAATATAAAAGAGTTTAGAAATAAATTATAAATAACAATTACATATCAGTTGTCTTATAAATCAGGCAGCTTTAATTTGTATTTTTTAAAATATTGGAGTTTTCATGTAATGTACTTGGACATGTATACACGAAAATTGCATGGTAAGTTGTGCCGTGACTTTTTGTAAATTACATAAAATTTCCCCTCTACCGAGTTTTATAATGAAGGAATTTACAAGGTGATGGGTACATGTATATTGTTGTCATTTTAGGTACATGTAGAGAGAGATAATTATCCTTTATATCCCCTCCCCGCGGGTTTTTCTTCCATTCTTCCATATAGAATTCTAATGTTAAATTAAACTCTATGATAAAACGTTTAAATGTTAAAACTACCATTTGGTATAAAATGTTTTATTTTATTAAATCTCGCTGGAGACATGAATATTCTTAAGCACAGTTACTTGTTTTTTTAATAATTTTTTCCCGATAGTATAATTACTGAAATGACTGCCGGTGGTCTTTAGCCATGTCAGATTTACAGATACACAAGTAAGATCTCGGTAATCCCCCCCCCTCCTCCCTCCCGACCAAAAGAGAGAAAGAAAGAAAATGCATCTTCTTTTCTGGAATGTACTTATTAATTCTGCATATTAAAGAGGTGGACCTGAATTAATTAAATAAAATAAATTAATTGCTAAATCATAAGAAAATCGATCCGTTCACGGAAATAAACACAGTATAATATTTATTAAAATTAATTACTAAAGTTAGATTTCACTAATAAACGAGTTTTTAATATAATACTTAAAAAAAAATATGCCGAAAGAAATAATGAGGGGCAAATATAAATCTTACTCTTGCAGTGTAAAATTTAGAGAAAAAGGATGTACACTGACGATGATGGGCATATCACCTTAAAACAAGTGGATTACAAACAGAAAGAAAATCATGAATTATTAACTACCTAACTTTGAATATTTCTATCAGTTTATAAACATGTAGTACAGGAGTAGCGAGTGTTAATTTAAATCGTACTGTGAAAGATTGCGACTCTTAATTAATCTATATTTAACCCGTAAAAAAATAATGCCCTAGAGATTCCGAATAGAAAAACCAGATCGAGGCCAAAGCGTGCGAGAATCGTGTACAAAGCGTGTGAGAAACGTGTACAAAGCGTTTCGTGCAGCCTTTCGTGTAAACCGTGCAGCCTTTCGTGCAAAGCGTTTCGTGTAAACCGTGTAGCGTTTCGTGCAAACCGTGTAGCGATTCGTGTAAACCGTGCAGCGTTTCGTGCAAACCGTGTAGCGAGCGTGTACCGTTCGTGCAGCGTGCGTTTGGGGTAGTAGCACGTTTCAGGGTCTGTATATATATATATATATATATATATATATATATATATATATATATATATATATATATATATATATATATATATATATATATATATATATATATATATATATATGCTTGACCTTTACCATGTATTTTATTTTTTTTTATTTAGTAATGCTCTCGATTTCAGTAAAACAGCAGCACTTTTCAAGTTAAAGAATGTTTCTGTTATGCATATTCAAAAAATGGTCAAGATCTATTAAATGTATGCCCTTGCGAAAAAGCAATTTATTGTGGCACCTCCGAGTGAAACATGCACACTCTGCACATAAAAATACGGTAGAATTAATTCAATACATTCTCTCGATAGTTTTTTTTTTTTAAATAATGGCACTAAACAAAGGTTTCAGATTTGTCATAATGGTCTACCTTAGATTTGCAAATGATATTCTGTTTAATAATAAAATGCGTTTTTCACTGTGGAAAAATTACTTGATCCACCTCTCACTGCACATAAAATGCGTCAAATTTTACCATGATGACGTCATGTCGACAAGTGCATGGCGGTCAGTGACTTGTTTATATCTTGCTGTGTGGGATTTAACTAGCGACAAAAATGAATGCAGTGGTAAGTATTGATGTAGATCATCACTCTTATGCAGATTAAAACCGCATATTATTTAATTTTCTGTTGTTTTGAGGAATTATTATATTTGTGTGATGTCACAGTAGACATTTCCAGTATAAATTTGGCCCCGCCCCCTTTATGCAGCCTTAACAGAGCTGCGGAGTACGTCGAGGGTTCTTGTTTGTCAGAAGTTTTCCTCGTTTATTTTTTGTTTGTTTGTATGTTGTTTAACGTCCCTCTCGAGAATTTTTCACTCATATGGAGACGCCACTATTTGCCGGTGGAGAGCTACAAATTTTGACCTATACTCGGCACTTACGGCCATTGAGCAGTGAGGGATCTTTTTCCTGCCAGCACCTTCTGCGACACGGGACCTCGGTTTATACGGTCTCATCCGAAGGACCGGTCTCCACGTCCCACAGTAGGATTCGAACCCGCGACGTAAGGATCAACTCCTTACTTCTTTCCTCGTTTAAGAAATTGCTCTAAGTAAAGTATTTTTGCGTTCCGAATCAACTTGGAGACATAGATTCTTCTATTTTGACATTAGAAAATATAAAACCCTACATTTACTTCATTCCTAAAGCATTTCAAAGATTTTTTTTATTTATATTTGGGTAGCAATAGCTACGAAGAATAGTGCATAAGAATTAGAGTATAAAATAAGAAGTCAGTGTTCTGTGTTGCAGCAACAAATGATTACCTTTCTTTGGTCCCCAACCAACTCGCTGGCAAACGCTCATATAACCATCGAATTCTTTGATGAACTTTGTCGGCGTTGATGTCTCTGCGACAATAAAGGTCGTATGAATAACCAAAAGGACTAACGTAAAAGCTGTTATCCGCAGTTTGTCTGTATACCTGTGAGATTATTAATATAGTTTTTTTTCCCTTAATATAATTTTCATAACTGTTCATATTTAATGAAATCTTTAAGCAAGAAAGAAAATTATTCGCTAAACATGAAGAATCTAAGGAATAAACCGAAATATCGGAGACGTGTTGCAGAAAAGGCTTAAATTAATACAAAACTTGAAGAAAAAAAATGAATTGAGTAAAAAGTATTTTAGAGGATAGAAAAGTACTCACATATGCATTGTTAAATAATTCTTCACTTCGCAAATATACTGCACAAAGTTAATAATAATATCTCTTAACGTTACAAATCGGAAAATATGAACAGTAGGATAACTTAAGTTTGTGGTCAATGTACATATAAATATACAGAAAAATGATATTATTTTCGTTTGCTTATAATTATGTATACGAACACGCAAAAGTCTCGTTTAAATCAACAGATTTTACATGCAATATCTTAAATTTCATTTAATCAATTTTTATCCTTTGTATACTATAGTAATGAAAGATACCAAACAATATGCATTAATGAATCAAAGCTTTAAATAAACAATAATTGATATACGGTTCACATTTCTTTTGTTTACATTGTAGCGTGTATTGGAGAAAAAAAGCACTGAGCTCGCATCTAACCCGTCAGGGTCCTGAGCAATTATTTCTATGCCCTCTAGTATGTTAATTGCAATTGCACAATACATTATCCTTGACAATAACAAATGGATAATATCTTCTATGTGATATGAATTGTCGTTTTTTTTTTCACTTTCAGATGAGTTGAGCTTAAAAAATTTCTTTCACCAGATCCACTTTATCAGATGTAGTTTCAAAATGAAACAAATGAAATGTTGAATGATATAGCTCAGAATCTCATTAATTAATACACACTGGAGAAAAGAAGTACTTAATTAAAGACTCAAATGGTTTTTCATCCAATTAGATAACAAAATATATGTAGATACTATCAATTTTGTGCCCATATGTAATATAAAGCAAAAAACTCCTGTCTACAGCAGCAATATTATAACGGTATTTATGTGACGCTTAAATCTAGAATTAGTGTATGGGGACCGTAATGCAGTTACAAAACATCTTAAACTTTTACTTGTAACTTATAAAAACAAGTGAAGCTAAACAAATATCAGTGGGTTTTTTTCCCCCATGAAATATATGGAGATAACAAACAGTATATACATCTAGTGTTACGCATACAGTCAAATTCACAAAAATGTGGTTGAATTCTGCGTAAATTCCGCTGCATTTTTTTCTAATTCAAATGTGAGGGTAAATCGGAATATACATGTACATGTACAGTCAATTACTTATATGCCTTCAACAATTTTTTGCATTAATTTTTCTAAGTATATTTATATAACATTAGTTATGCTGCTAAATATCAAATTAAAGACGCTTAATTCATAACCCCTGGAAAAAGGGCTCCGGTTATAGGGATTGGCTATTTCATTTATCGGCTCTATAAGAGACAACATGGTTAAAGATCTTTCTCATCAATGTAAGATTCGTACTTGAGAACATGATATCGATACTCTAATCTCAGTTACGACAGTCATTCCTTGTGGATGGTTACTTTTTTACTTGCCAAAAAATGTAGTTTAAATGCAATCCATTACAATTCTTTTTATATCTCAACATTATGTTCTTGCATATGTTAACTTAAGTACCATACATAGATTCATGTACCATAATATTTGTTCCCCCCAGATGTCAGTTAAATATCTGAATATCTCAACATTTAAGAAGATAATATCATTTCTTAGTCTCAGGTATCTCACTTTAAAACACTTTTTTGGAAATGCTGGAATATTTGCTAGGCCTAAAAAATTCAAAAATACGATTTCTTAATTCTGCCATTTCATCACAAACATTCCAAAGGATGAGGTATGTATCATACATACATTTTTCAAATTCCGAAATATCCAGCTGTTAGGGGAAATGTTTTGAAAATATCTTCCTCTATTCATTTGCATTGCTTTTAAATTGAATAAGCTTTTAATTTGTCTAAAATGTATGTGAAAGTGTTCAAATTTACAATTGTTATATTCAGAACCATTTGCAATTTCTTTAATAATTTACAAAGTGAAAATACGTTATTTACACGTACATTGCTAAACATGCTAAAGATTACTACATGGCTTTTTTCATTTCTTTTTAAAAAGAGTTTATTTTACTTCCGGAAAAGTAAGTATAGTATCCACCATGTATGAATGTGGCAGGAAGGTGCCAAACTCTGATCCATACTTTATTTCCCTTAACGAATTCATAAACCAAGTGGCCCGCAGAGTTGATAAATTTGGTTTGCTGGTTTTCTATGCACGATAGGGCATGATCCTCATTATCTACAGAAAGAGCTGTGTACACGGTCCCTCCCTGTCTGGACAGATAAGACCACGCAAAAGAATAGACACCAATTTTCGGTGCGGTAAAAATACCCGTTTCAGGATCGTAACCTCCACCTTTGCTTAACTGGACATTGTTGAATTTAATAGTAGTGTTCACAGGAACATCAGTGAGATGAGACTTTATGTTGACATGAAACGCAATGACATGGTTAGCGGTGCAATCTACACTAAGCAGAAATGAACAACGATTGAATATCATTTTAAAAGGAAAAATGAAGAGTAAAAAACATTTTTGCTTGATATTTATAAAACGATGCTGTTTTGAAATTATCCAAATGTCTTATTCAAATAAGGAGTTCGCTGGAAAAACAAACCTTGCTAAGGTTCCCAGCCAAGTTTCTTACAAGCACTTCTATAACCATTCATGTCTCCCATGAATTCAGCTGGAGATGCTGCTCTTACAGTGGACATTGTGACAGCGTAGACAAACAGCATAGTAGGAACAAAAGAGGGCCACGTAATTCTAATAGAAAAACTGTAATATTTCTTCTAATTCAAGAATAACATATAAGTTGTAACCATCGTACTGTTTATTTTGTTTTATTTATTTTTTATGCATTAGTGCGAAAATAATAACAAATCATTATTACTTGAAACAAGATCAGAACAATGAGAACTGCGTTTAAAAGATATAAATTCAGCAGATATATAAGTTGACCTGTGTCTGCAATATTTTAGCCTAATGGATTTCAAACGTTGCTATAGTTATCATCAGCGATTTAGTCATTCATACATGATTATATTAATTCTCTATATAAAGTTTGTGTCCTTAAACACGATAGTCATATCGTGATATGTAAGCATGTTTTAATGTAATTTGAAAACAATTTTAAATCATCAACAAATATATCATTCTTGGAATATAAAAGACTTTGGAAAATGTTATTGATGAGTTGCTATTCCTTTTTACAATCTACTCATTCTCACAATCAATAACATTACTTAAGTTTTAGAATTGGTTTTAAAAATTATTAAAAACTCACCCCATCCGCGCATATATATCTTAACAGTGCTCCTGGTTAGTGGCTGACAAAGCATTTAAATACTGGATGTTAATGGATCATCATATAAAATGTTATTGTACATAATGATAAATAGGATATATTTTCAGACAAATCAGGCATTACATCTTCCGACAGCTGCAGCAATATATATGGTACATTTGAACTAGTGTGTATCTATTCTAAAATGTCCTAGATTCCTTTTGCTTTGACAAAAAGTAGGGTAGCAATTCCAAAAAAGTAACCTTACTTCAATTTACCATGTAATGTGTTAATTGCTTCCAAAAAATTTCAAAAAATACAACAAAAATGAAAATTTGTTCTGTGTTCTACATCGACATTTGATTGCATAATTTTCTATGCTAAATAATTTCGGGAAAAACTCAAAACTCAAAACTGTCAATCAGAATAATGCTAGCGAGCAATCTAACGTGTTTATACACCCAATAAATTACAAATTTATTGATTGATTGTTTGTTTCTTTATTGTTTAACATGCACGTCCCATTCAAGAAATGTTCACTCATATAGAGACGTCACCACATACAGATGAACAAGTTAAGTCCTATACTCGGGACACAGGGCCAATGAACAGTGGGGTATCTTTATCGTGTCAATGCCTCCCGTGATACGGGGCATCGGTTTTAAAGGTCGCATTCGGAAGATCCAAAACTTTCATTTCGAAGTACTGATCGCAAGGACTTGGTGAAGAAATATTTACTACCTATTTTTTACCAACTTAGGTCTGTCGCGGCCAAGGCTTGAAACTACGATCATAATAGCACTACATGTAACATTCACATTTACACAGTATGCTGACAAAAAACTTTATAAGCCCGACTTGGACAATTACCTTCGAGTATAATGTCAAAATAGTTTAGAATCGGTCTATAGTAAATAGACTAGTGTACAATGTATTTGTTACCTACTCAATATAGGGATTAAGCATAAATATGGCGATAGTGAATTTTCGCTTAAAGCAAAATGATTTGCATTCCCCGTGAATTTAAAATACATTGTAAGCTTAATTGATATAAGGATTTACGCTTATAATTATACCAAAGGATATCATCCCTCCATGGCACTTCGTTATAAACGCGTGTTTTAATGTTTATTATATTCCACTTATATCCAAACCAATTTAATTTGTAGAACACGATTTAAATTAACATGCACAAGTAAAACAGATGTTAAAATACGAGAAACAAAGACATTTCTACGACAAAATATACAATTAATTGATCTTATTTCCATATGTACACCTATGCTGTTGTAAAGATTAGTCATCATGGTTTTCTTCAATGTCTCTTTGTTTCTTTCATCAAGAATCACAGTTGAAATGTTGAAGAAACTAGGTAAATGTTTATATCATTTTGTTTAAATTTGCTTAATTTTAATTTATTGTGACTTAAAATTTCATTTGTTCATTTATCTTTTTTTTCAGTTTTTCGAGTTTCTTTACCAATTATGCTTAAATGACTCATTGATAAATTGCATAGTTCATCCATGCACCTGCTGCTGTCATTATTTAGGTGGGCTCTGGTATTTTTTTATTTTATAATAATGGATATTTAAGCCGTTAACCTCGGGATATGATATTGCATTATTAGCAATTACTTCATGCAAACTCCCGCCCCAGTTCGGAGCTGAAATCTTTACCTGATGAACATGTCTCCTAGCAGTGCAGAAACAGCGGCTATCTCGGGAAGTCAGAAATCTTGTTTTCGATGCAAATGGAATTCTCGCAGCGCCGCCCTACACTACAGGGTCATTGAGAACGGAATTGAGATACAGCCATATGGACATAATTTTTATTAAAGGATCGTTACCGATACAAATTGCAATAAAATTAACATTATTTTAAAGCACTTTTAATTTTCAATTACTCCTAAACTAAAATAACTGCTTTATATATTCTTCAGAAAATGCAGATGATGTATTTATCGTACCTGTATTTATTCTTTCGATACAATATCTTTATTCCAGTTTTTTTTAGATCCAATTTTATTTAAAATGTTTCCTTCAACACTCTACCAGAAAATAAAATAAATATCCTTAAAAGTGTTGCATTTCTTTTCTATTCTGATAATCAAATTGGAATCAGTAAGTGGAAATGTATTGAGAAAATATTGAGAAGGGCAGCATTATTTCAATTTGAGAGTAAAAAGTGGGCATAATCTATAATACCTGGTCCCATCCCTTTTTGGTGGTTTCCTTTTTTTTTGCACTATATTTATTGTTTTCATTTAAGTTACATTAACAAGTCATTGAATTATTAGGTAGTCAATGTTTGTGTTGCTTGTAAAGCAAATATCATTATTCGAGAAGTGGTGTAAATCAGATGTGGATACTTAAAAATTCCAAGGAACTTTTGGAAAATTTGAAATCACAAGATTTTACCAAAATCAACAGCTTAAAACCTTACGACTTTTCAACTTTATACACAGCCATTCCCAACGATAAATTAAAGTCCAGGCTTTTTGATATCATTGACAGCTGCTTTTTCGATAAAAATGGAACTCCTAAATTTACTTACCTTGTCATTGGTCATTTGCAAAATTATTTTGTTAAAAAACATTCTGATTGCACACACAAGTACCCTGAAGTTGACATTAAAAAGATGCTTGAGTTTCTGATTGACAATATCTATGTGGTTTTTGGAGACCAGGTCTTCCAACAATCTATTGGAATTCCCATGGGTACCAATTGCGCCCCGTTATTAGCAGAACTTTTCTTGTATTCATATGAAGCAGAATTTGTCCAAAATTTTGTACGTGAAAAGAAGAAAACACTTGCTGTGGCCTTCAACTCGACATTTAGATATATCGACGACGTATTGTCAATTAACAATGGCTATTTCCATTCTTATGTCAATACGATATATCCTGGTGAGCTTGAGATAAAAGATACCACAGAGTCTGACACATCTGTTTCCTATTTGGATATTTTACTTGAGAAAGACGTTAATGGTAATCTAACAACCGCTTTATGATAAACGTGATGACTTTAACTTTTCAATTGTCAACTTCCCTTACTTATGCAGCAATATACCTTCATTACCTGCATACGGGGTATATATATCTCTCAGTTGATTCGATACGCAAGAGCATGCTCTACATATGTACAATTTCTAAAACGAGGTAAATTATTGACAAACAAGTTGATGAAACAAGAATATCAGCTGTCTCGTTTAAAGTCAACATTTCGTAAGTTCTATGGTCGATACAATGACCTTGTCAGCAAATACAATTTATCATTGAGTCAAATGCTGACTGACGTTTTTCATACTAATTGTTAGACCATTATTTACACACTCAATTGTCGACGGATTTTTCCGTCATTTCCCGATCATGACAAGGAGCACACGGCGGATGTGATCGGTCTGCAGGGGATGCTCACTCCTCAATGGCACCTGATCCCACCTCTGATGTTTGGAGGTTGGTGTTTTCTCTGCTCCTATTTTGTATTGTTTAATGGACTTTTGAGCTCGATTACTGTTCGTTATCTCCATATATTTCATTTGTATTATATTTCAGTCTTAATTTCCAATTCACTTGTGCTATACCCCCGGTACTTAATGCATATGCAGGTTTCCCTTTCCCTGCTCTGCAATTATGCAAAAGTAAAGGCATTAATGAATTTTCATGTAGCTTTACCAAATTAAAATAAAGTCTATTTTTATGTTTATATCAGAACTATAGAAGCTGCTGTATATAATGTTGCTGGTGTATAAAATACTCTAATCCACTTATTGTTTCCTTTCTTAAGTTCGAGGAGTCAGGAAGGCATGTGTGTTGATATAACTACTTTGTTGATTACTAGTGCAGTCTTGGCGCATGATTCGCATTGCCCAGTGCCTTTTTTCATCGGCAGGTGTACGGAAATATCCGTAGAGAATTTAGTATGAAAAGAATGACCTAACAATTTGTTCGAAAGACGTCAGTCAACATTCGAATTATCAACAGATTGTATTTGCAAACAAAGTCATTGTATCGACCATAAAATTTGCGAAATGTTAACTTTAAAAGAGATCGCTGATATCCTTATATCATCAACTTATTTGTCAAAGCCTGCGTGTATTCAAAATTGAAAAGGGAGACGTAAGCTGCAGTTCAGAAAATCATTTATTCACAGATGTGTGCATGCATAATCTCTTTCGACAGCCATGAGGTTAGAGAAGTCAAGGTCACAAGGTCATGACGTGTAGGACAAGGTCACTGGGAAATGAAACGTTTGAATCGTTTCTGATCTTTGACCTTCAAAACTTTTTTTGGAATCAATTCAAACGTTAGTACATTATTGCGGTTTACTGAAATGCGAATTCTTGGTTTGACACAAGATTATACCTCAAGACCAGGTTAAGATCTTGAGGGCTTACATGACAAATGTGCTTCAAAACGTGTGTTTTATGAATTGTGTGTATTGATCTCAAATTTGACATCCAAACACCACATTTTGCTGTCCACGTTTTGGGAGAAATACATGTATTAAGGGATATTTTCGCACATGTTATTTTTGCCCGATAACACTTCCAGCCTATTTGTCCTGCTTTGAATTCGCCCAGGTACAGTTGTGTTAAAGAGATTACATGTACGCTGTCTTCTTTGGAACTTCCCGTTTTAAATTCGCCAACTTGCAGCGAAAATGAAAGGGTCGAAAATGCAACGGGGGCAAAAAATTCCCTGTATTTAGTTACATTTATTTTACGTTGTGAACTCATAATTAAACAAGCGTATTTTCATCAAATAATAGTCTACTTGTTTGCCATATGCATATTCGATCGTAAATTGTCAACTTCACACCGAGGACAAATAATGCAGTTAACATGATTAGGAAATAAATAAGTTTTTAAGGGCATCAACTCTTTGGTCTTTATGTATCTGTCTGTCTGTGTAGTATTTATTTTTACATTACAGAATATAACTCTGTTGTTTTACATCACAATCTAATTAAACATGGTTCGATTGATATTGTATGGTGCTGATTTTTTTCATGCAATCCGGTTAAAGGCAATACATTTTAAGTCATTAATGTGAACAGTAGTACTGTATCGTATAGAAAATGTTTACTAGTGTGTATTTGTTTGAGTTCTGCATGGCCTTTCACCATGCTATATGATAACCATGAGAGGACCTTCAAAGAAATTTGTTCTCGGTGACTTTCTTCACTGAGCCATTATTTTCTTTTCTGATTCAAAGGAGGTTACCATTGCTTCCTGTTCTCAAATCCAAACATGGCTGAGTTTTTAAAGTTATTGGTGTAAGTGCAAATTTAATATTCATAAGGTACATATGTATTCATTAAAGTAAGCTAAAATTGATTCCATGATTATGTGATTTAATGTAATACTTAATTTTAGATACAATTCATAATTCAAACAGTTTATTTTGAAATATTTAATTCACTGGTACAATTTTTATAGATGTTCTTCCTTGCTAGATATAGTTTATCCTGTATCCCGAGAAGTAAGTGTACTTGTTAGCATGCATGTATCCAGCCGTCACATGGAGTGTTCTGATCCAGACTTTGTTTCCTTTCTTCAGTTCATAAAGCAAATGTCCTGACGTACTAATATGAATACTTTGTTGATCATTCACACTTGTTGATGCCTTCCTTACGCCATCTACCACTGCCTCTACGTAAACTGTTGATTTCCTGGTTGAAATAAATGTCCATTGGAAGAAGTAGACACCGTCCTCTGGTGCAGTAAAAACACCTGTCTTGGGATTAAATCCGTTTCCTTTATTCAACAAAACATCATCAAATTTTATAATTGTGTTTACAGGGACGTTTCTGAGGTCAGATTTAATAGCGGCGTGGAAGGCAATCACAGGAGTCGTCGAGGAACATCCTACATTCACGAACAATTTGAAATGACAGTACTGAAGGAATCAAAATGTGAAGAATGGTAAGAATTTTGCTCACAGATACTCTGGTTCTATTTCGTAGAACGTCAACAAAATAATCTTTTTTCTCGATGTATTTTCCAAAATGTTTTATAGTTCCGACGTTTTATAGTAGTAGAAATAGTTTACAAGAATAGTGTATTTTATTACAGTAAAAAAATTCAGCGTTGTGTATTACAGCAACATAAGGATACCTTTCTTCGGTTTCAAGCCAATCTCTGCGCAAGCGCTCATATACCCTTTAAAATCTTTGATAAACTCTGATGGCGATGATGTTTCCGAGACAAAAAAGTTTGTCTGAAGCACCACAAATAACATCATAAAAGTTGTTATGCACATCATGACTGTTCGTCTGTGAAATGAATTAGAAGGTTTAGGTCTGTTTAATAATTTTATAAATATCAAAGCGTTAAGAATTTTTGCTTCCAGAAAAGAATTTACTGCTCTGACCTGTATCAAAATTTGCATTTTAGATGCTTGATTTTGAAATGAAGATAAGGCAGAAGTACTGCAGACAAAGCTTAAAATAATACATGACTTGAACCAAACATATGGACGTAAAGGAACATCATATTGAAAACTACTTACATTTTTAAAATATTTTCTTCACTGGACGATTTTATTGCACTTAGCGATTTAACTCAACATTACGAAAAAAGGCAACATGTAAATAAATAAATAATTCAGTTGCATGTGCAATACACATTTAAATATACCCTAACAAAAAAATACTACATTGTATAGTAAACTATAGTTAACTATAGTTTACTATAATTAACTATAGTACCAAAGTAAAAACTTTGGAACTTTGATTTACTATAGTAAAAACTTTGGAACTTTGATTTACTATAGTGAAAACTTTGGAACTTTGATTTACTATAGTAAAAACTTTGGAACTTTGATTTACTATAGTGAAAACTTTGGAACTTTGATTTACTATAGTAAAAACTTTGGAACTTTGATTTTCTATAGTAAAAACTTTGGAACTTTGATTTACTATAGCGAAAACTTTAGAACTTTGATTTACTATAGTAAAAACTTTGAAACTTTGATTAAGTACGATAAATCCCGTGGAATTATGTTTTTGATTCCCATTCTTTACATTTCATATTTCAAGTTTAAGATTCATAAAAGCTTTAGAGAACATTTTAAAACCCCGAGCCCTCCCCTAAAAGAATAATGTACAAGATATGAATTTTAATGTAAAGGTTGTCGCTTGCGCCGATAAGTAAGCAATATTTATTTCAATGTATTTAATCTTAATGTTATGCAGATGTAACGCAAGTCTTATTTATGGAGAAAAAATAATATATTATAAAAAAAAATGTGTCATTTAGAATCAAAATATCCACTTCATCAACTTTAGTCAACAAGTATTTTTTTTTAAATTTATAAATGTAAATATTGCATTTGAATTATCTACTTTGTATATTTAAATAAAGATGTACAACAAAAACCAGCCCCAACCAACTCCATATCCACCCCCTCCCCTAAAACGGCTAAATAATAAAAAAAAAATAAAAAAAAAAATACATAACTTGTTAAACTAATAAAAAAAAAACTTTGAAACTTTGATTAAGTATAGGGAAAACTTTGAAACTTTAATTAACTATAGTAAGAACTTTGGAACTTTGATTTACTATAGTGAAAACTTTGGAACTTTGATTTACTATAGTAAAAACTTTGGAACTTTGATTTACTATAGTGAAAACTTTGGAACTTTGATTTACTATAGTAAAAACTTTGGAACTTTGATTTACTATAGTTAACTATAGTAAACTATAGTTAACTATAGTTTACTACAGTATTTTTTTGTTAGGGTATAGAAAACTGATCATTTGCATGCTTATGTACAAACACGCCAAAAGTTTATTATGTTACAGACTGTTCATACTATGTCTCAAATTACATTACTATTCATTTGTTTGTTTGCTGAATTTATCCACTGCATAGTTATCACATATCACCATGGTCAATACATTCAGTTTAGGTTATACAGAGAACAACAATGTGATTTAACTATGCATGAATATTTATAGGATGTTTTCAGTAAAGGCAACAATTCATTTCATGTACATAAATACATAATTAAAATGAAGAACTTATCATAAACTATGGGAAAGTTTGATAAATGTATATCAAAAGTGCGTGGACAAATGAAAAAGCATATGCTTTTTTTTCAAACATTGGATCAACGATATGCTCCCAACGCGCTTTGGCATATGGAAGAGTACAATTTCTCAAACAGTTTGTCAATGCAATGTTCCAAACGAAACGTATTTAAGTATGAGGTAAAAAGCCGAATATACTTGACGTCAATCAAATATTCAATTCGATGTAGCTTGAATGAAAACGACAGATGAAAAATGCTTGCTAGTGTAGAAATAACAAAACTTTGGTTGATAAAGATCACTCTGAGTACTAAACAATCAACATACAATAAAGATTTTTTTTTTGGTTGACACCCTAAATCAATAAGACATTCAGTATAATAAAATAAATAGTGCATGGAGCTGAAGCGTCAGTTGACAATGGTTTTCCTTGGGGTGTTAATTTCAATTGTTACCCTCAAAAAACATGCACTACTTATATATTGATATCTGGGTACGTATTGCCTTAAATTAGAGCTGTTTGGATATGTTAACATGTACGAGTCATGGATGGAAGGAATTTCTTGAATGAGATGATTTTGGTCACAAATTCAAATTGCAAGAACATATTTTAGAACAAATAAGACTATATTTTTACATCTTTTAGAGATCAAAGATAACTTTCTGTACATCACAGTATTAAGTTCATAGCATACGTTACCTGAGTTACTGACGACATTTCCTGAGTCTGTGCCATTTTCTTCTTCCAGGGAATGAAACTGTTAGTAGTTGATATGGTATTTTTAAAATTTTCAGAGCAGTAATGAATAGTCATGACTAAGAGTGTAATCTGTATTCAAGACTATTGAAAACAACAGCTAGGAGTGAAACTTTAAATCTTTATCAAAATGAACATTGTTATATAGAAGTGTTGTATTTTTTCGTGAATACACTCGAGATAAGGTTTCATTTTAATGTAAAATGCATTCACACAACATACATGTACGACGTTGAGCTACATAATCAGTTGAAATAAACATATTAAGAAATAAGATAAGATTTTAAAATTGTTAAATAAATAAATTAGATAAATTGTCGGAATTCTGACCCGACCCGTCAGTTCCTTGAGCTTAAATTTTCAAACAAAGGAATAGATGCTGTGAGCATTAGTAATATTTTTTATCATAAAACGATTCAGTCTTCCATTCCAAAATATTTCAAGCTGAAGTCTACACCATGCATTTACAACAGATATTCACAAACTGTTGCGACCAAACTTTTCAATTATAAACAAACCCTACAGTATCTAGATATTAAACCTCTAAAGCAAAATCTTCTTAAGTGTTCTTGCTCTTCTTAGTCTTTCAACTACAGACCCACTGGACACGTTATTATAAGTCCCCTACCGGTGAAACCAGAGGGGACTATAGGTTTCCTCTGAGTCTGTCCGTCCGTCAGTCTGTCTGTCTGTTCGTCTGTCTGTCTGTCAGTCTGTCCTACTTGGTTTTCCGCACATTTTTTCTTTATGCTTTCGAGAATTGATTTGAAACTTGCTATGTACCTTTATAGTGATAAACTACAGATCAAGTTTGAATTTTATTACATTTAACCAAAAGGTTTCAGAGTAAATCAGTTTTAAACATTCGTTTTATTTTATAAAAGATCGGGTTCGTGCTGCACTATATTAATGTTACAAAACGAGGTTGTCAGGTTTAAAATTATTGATTTCAAACTTGCTAGGTAGCTTTATATTGACAAACTATAGATCAAGTTTGAATTCCGTCACGTTTGACCAACAGGTGCTAGAGTAAATCAATTTTAAGCATTCCTCTTTTTTATAATCGGGTTCACGATCGGGTTCGTGGTGTACTAAAATGTTCCAAAAGCGAGGTTGTCGATTGTGACAGAAGACGGTAAAGAAATATGGTGCATTGTATTCAGCAATTCCTACCAGCGAATACTTAATATACTTGGAGAAATAATACCAGATGCAATAAAGACTGAATATTTTTTCCCCATTTGAATTGTTTTTATATCCCTATTTATTTATAAGTTAAAGGCAGAGATTTAATGCCAGGTTAGGGAAAACGAGTAACGTAAGCAATTGTCATGTTATTCAAACATTATGTGATTTTAGTCAAACAGTCTTTGTAAGACAGATTTCATTTAGACATTTCATTCATAAACAAGTAATCCGAAATGTCCATATGGGGGACATGTATTGCTTATGCAATACTCTCACAACGCTTGTTACTGGTGATGTAAATATAGTTGAAAATGAAGACCTTAAAGCAATCACTGTAAAAGGTCGTAAATACAGGGAGCCCCGATCTTTCAATTGGCGACAAAACTTTATTTCCATTATGAATTTTGTTGGAGATTATGCCAAACGTTGGGATAACAATGAAAAGGAAGACCTGAACACTTTGTCAGAATGGATTAAGTGTTTTAGAAATATATTAAAGATTCGTATTAGAAGATCAAAAGCAAAACGCAAACCATCCACCCTTCCGTTTTTACTAAACCGGAAGTGATGAAAGAGTTAGAGTGAATACACGAAAAATTTGCTATGGCTCCAGCAGAAAAGGCTGGTAACAATATTGTCTTTTTTTGTAAGTGTTACAATTAATGTCGATTTTGTTACATGTAAACTTATTTCTATTTTATTAGTATTATCCTTTGATGACCCTTGTTTGTATTATAGTGTTTTATACTCTAAGGAACTCCATTGTGACGCTCAGTTGAATTTAAATATTTGGCCAGTCGCTATAAATGGTAGTGTCTGGTTTGTCTTGGGTAACGCTCGTTTTCCTTGACCAGTGAGGGTAGTTCTACATTCATGTTCATGAAAGGTTAGATAGGTTTACTCATGGTGACTGAAACTCCAGACAGGGTAAGTGCAATTTAATTACATTAATTGAAAAGTAGTGCACTGTATCTATATCAATTGAGCTTACTCTATTTATATACATGAGACTGTTCGAATTGTATTCGGGAAATGTTACCACGTATGCCTTGAGTTTAAGCATAAAAGTAATTATGTTTGTTCGTTACTTAGTGTGTAATGTTATATTGTACATTATTTTGCTTTGCCGTATGAAACTATGTGATTCATACTAGTTAAAACTGTATGTTTAACACTTATATGTTCAAGCATTCATGTGTTGTACATGTAAGGCAGCCTGTTTGGGGCCAATTTTCTATATGTCTACAAACATTTGTTGAAGG